ATATAATTTATTATATACCGTACATTTTCATATCCAGATAATGCTTAGTTTCACATCAATTTTCTGTCCATAGGGGAAACTGATAGGTGAAAGGTAATGAATGCAACTTGTTCATTTGCGTTCATGCGATACCATTGACCTATCCATCCTGTAAAATCTGTTCAAGCTAAGAACCTTTACAGTGATAGGATTTTGATAGCGAATGCAGACCTAGGATCCAGAGTGCACTGTTCTGAATGATAAAGCTGGTAGTATTGAAGAACTTACGTAAGGTCACGTAAAACAGGAAATTGTTTGTGGTGCGCCAGATGCTGTGTTGGCCTTACAGCACGTACAATCACACTCGGGTATTGATTTATTGTTAGGGTCCTTGCCATAATGTAGGCCACATGGTGATGGTCGCACCAAGCAAGAGGGCAAGCAGGCACGGTTAAAATCGTGGTTACATATTCAGAGGCTGCCGATTGAAAGCTGTACAAAATAGTCTCACATACGGCTCCTTTCGCATTCCCTGTCGGGAGGATGGAGTAGCCCCTGTGATACTTAGCCCCTGTGATACTCTTTATAATGGAAAGCTGTACCGTGATTATTACGGCGCTTCACTTTTGTTGTCATGAGGAAAAGCATATTCATAGGGAAGCATTGCACAACGCTCTAGAAGCTTGGTGTGAAACCAGGGTCACGTGGTATAGGGGTCCAAGTTCGGGGTTACCGTGTGCCAACACGATTCAGACTTGGCGGCAGCCCCGAGACAGCCAGTGCATGTGGAAACACTGTTTCCTTGTAGGTTGAACCATTTGATGTGAGCGTGTGCTTTTGATCTCATCTATTTGCACTTTATATAATGTGTAATTTGCCTATGTATGCAGGCATACATGCACACATACGTTCGTACACGTACACACACACATCTCCCTCCGTTCTCTCCCTCTCCCTCCCTCTCTCTCTCTCTCTCTCTCTTCTCTCTCTCTTTCTTCTCTCTCTCTCTCTCTCTCTCTCTCTCCTCTCTCTCTCCTTCTCTCTCTCTCTCTCTCTCCCTCCCTCTCTCTCTCTCTCTCCCCCTCCCCTCTCTCTCTCTCTCTCCCCCTTTTTTTTCCCTTATCCCTCTCTCTTCTTCGCCCCCCCCCCTCTCTCTCCTCTCTCTCGTTCTCTCCTCTCTCTCTCTCTCTCTCTCTCTCTCTCTCTCTTCTCCTCTCTCTTCTCTCTCTCTTCTCTCTCTCATAACACACACTCGTCCACAGCAAAACTGCAATTAAATGTGGTATCGTTTGTATAAAGAGATCCTCAAAGCGGCGTTGTCTGTCTTTTTTAAAATAAAAAAAGTGTCGTCTATAAATAAAGGCGACAGTTCGCTGATTTCGCAACATTGTGCCAGTACAGTTAGTTGGAAGATGCGATAATGATTGTTGCACCGGCAAGGCTGGTGTCGACGTCACATGGTGCGTCACAGCCGCTGCTGATGTGTGGTGGAGGCAAGAGGGTAGGCGAGGCGCGGCGGGCCCTCACCCTGTGTCACCAACCTCACGCTGTTACTCGACAGCTGCGCCGGAGCATTGCTATCCTATTCATTCCGTATGCATCTAGAAAAAAGTTCTTATCTTTATTTAACACATGCATAGTTCGTATCCGAAAATTGGCTTCGCAA